TTATAAAGTTACAAATTTTAACAATTTACATTACATTATTTAGTAAAATAAGAGTTAAATTAATTTTAAAATGCAAATAAATTATATTCTATAATAATAGCAATGATATGGGGGAATTTACGAGAAAGAAGTTAATCATTCGTAATATATTGGTTTGTTTTAGTGGCTTTTGTAAATGCACAACATGATCCCATCATATCCCTAATTTAAATCTGTTTGAGCCCTATTTTATAAGTTATCGTGTCAAAAGAATATATAAGATAAGTAAAGGAAATTTATTACCTGTCTTACTTTACTTTCTAATCGCTTAACATTCTATAGAAAAATCTTGGAACTTAAGAAAATTGTTTACCCATTTCAGTTTATGGCTGACACATTTAAAGTTAAAATAACGAGAGTATTTACTAAATTTGTCATATAAATAGGCAATTTTCTATTGAATAAAAATACTATTTCATTAAATGAGTTAGTTCATTAAATTCTTTGTTTTCGTTTTACTAATATAGCGATTTTATCGATATCATTTTTCTTTTTCATCAATCGAAACACGATCTTCATTTTATTATGATTTAAGATAATTTTATGAAGCTAAAAATAGATATATAAATATATTCATACTTTTTTCTAAAATATATCTTATATATCTAAAAGTTAATAATTCATTTAAAATGTTTCAATTATTTTTTCGGGCTTTTTGCCAACTCTTATACATGAAGAATTTATTTCTGTCTGCTACGGACGATTGACTTAACACTCTACAATAAAAGAGCCATTTCCTTTTAACCATTTCTCTTTTTTAAAGCCAGACTTTCTTTTTAACACAAACAGAATATTTTCTGAAAAAATCTCGACAAAAATTATAAGCACAATGATCTTTATTTTATATATAGGCCTAAATATGTCTAAACATAAATTTAAGATAAATGTTTTAAGAAAGCATGATAATATATTTACGATAATTGCACAGACAAGTAACTCCTCTTTTGCGTAAAATACTCTTTATAAGTCAGTTTCAAATATTTTTTAAATATGATATGTTTAACGTTACTATTATTTAAGATGGCACAAAATCTATTAACCATTGTGAATATCAAATTTTTGTCTTAACTTAAATACGTTATTACTTAGAAACATTACAAAAGTTGCTTTAAGATGACATAATTTAAGTTCGACGATTTAAAAACAACTTAATAACATAAGATAAAATATTTTAATAATTTAGAATAATATCTGCTTTAAACTATTTTATTAAAATGTTTTCGTAGAAAAAATTAGATTAACAGATATTCACATTTTCATCAAAAATCATTACAAACTTTAAAAAATATTCACAAGTAAATGTAATAAACTTGATTTATTTATAAGTAAAAAATTATGAGAATGTTTAGAATATCCTTGGGTATGATATACAGTTATAATTCAAACGTGAAACTTTTATTTATTTAAAAATATTTATTTTATAAAATTATTATTTATCTAAATTTTAAAGTTGAATACAACAGATTATTTCTTGTAAGTTTTAAGTTAATTTTAAACACAAATTAACGAATTATTTATATAAAACTACATTATATAAATTGAAATAGAACACAATAAATTTCTTAAAGTTAATTAAATCGTGTAATATGAAGCCCCAAAACAGTAATATTTAATCATTACATCGGAATTACATTACAAACTATTTATTATTCTAAGAGATAAATGTATAAGTTTATTAAGAAAGTAAATTAATTACTTCAAAGGGTGTTTATTTAATAGTAAGCAAGTCTTAAAGTGATAGATCAATCACTTTTGTATATCCACAAATTCCACATGAAACGATCGATATAACTCTGCTTAGTTTGAAAAACGTATTGTTTCTACGAGTAAACGATTTATTTGAAATATATCTAAGAGGGAAAGATAAGTAGATGACATATGTTACGCCATTCTACCTAAGGGAATTTATGTTTTAAAGTGATTTTAAATCGTCTTCACGTTTAAAATAATTTATTTAAAAAGTGTATTTGCAAATATCTTAAAACTTATTGTGTGTATAAAAATTATTTTTTAAAAATATATTTAGATGAAAATTGTTTTAATTAATTAGATATTTATTATTCATTTCATTTGTTTTGTATTACGGTTGTTTAATAGTAGTAAGTTTAGATGATGATTTGAATATTTCATTCTAAAAAAATTCATTTTTTAAATAGAACAATTATAGGATTTATTAAATTTAACTTTAAAAACTTTTAAAAGTATACTATAAAATATATTAAGGTTTTATGAAGAACGTATTTAATTAATATGAAGCTAAATTAATTTATCAATTGAAGATTATCAATTCATTTATCAAGATTATTCATTCTAAACTATGAAAGTTTAAATCTTTAAATATTTGATTTTTTAGATTTCAAAGTTTAGATTTTATGGATCAATCGCCTTTGGCTTCGAACTAGTTTGGAGCTTTTCGAAATCGAACTGGTTTGATCTATTTTTGTTCAATACAAGGCATTCTATGCCTGTAGGCCGATGGCATTGGTCCAAGTTAGTGCCAACTCCTGAAAACTGAATCTTTGCTCTTCCAAATATTATTCGTTTTAAAACTTTTTATTACTTGTATAAATCAAAATTCTTTTATANCACTAAGTTTAGATGATTGCATTTCAGTATATATTTTGATTGAATTTAGTTTGATACACTCAATTTAGACCTTTCATTCCCAACAGCGTATTCTATATTTGTTCTATTATGTACTGTACACAATAGAATGATATAAGTGTCACATGTACTCTTATTTGATGAAGATATCATTTACTATACAAAATGGCTTTTCTATGATTGGATTCTCAATGATATAGAGTTTACGCTGACGTATATTTTTATTTATATATTATGAGAAGTGTGATTTGCTCTAGCTGTTGAGAATGCTTTTCAGAATACTACATTTTGTGATCATTTATTAATATGTTTATAACTGCGTATTTAAGTTTTCGAATTAAAAGGCCAAGAAAATATATAATTAAATATTTTTCATATTTTCTATTTATTGTTGTTCTATTAAGGTGAAATGTGAAAAATTATAGTTGCATAAGTTTACTATATAAGTACATATATTAGTGTAAATACACTATGCGACGTATACTATTTTACATTGACAGAACTAAATTATTGATGTCAGAAATTTTTAAAATTGTTTTTTTTAGAAGTCTTGAAAGATGTCTTACAAATTGTATCGCCGGAGTTTAAAATGTGAAAAAAATAAATGTAAAATTTTAACAAATAGGACAAAAGTAAGCAAATTATTTTAACATTTAAGAATTAATTCTTAAATATCAATTTAATTTTAGAATACTACAATTAAAATTTCGATTATAATAACGTCGAATTCATTTTTATTTCAATATTGAAAGTTATTTAGCGGGTAATTGTTTATGAATTAAACTCTATTAAGTTCATTGATAAATTATTTCAAAATATAAAAAGTATAATAATAGTGATATCAAACAAAAAGTATAGTATATTTTAATATATTACAATATAAAAATAAAATTGATCCAGAAAATTTCGGAAATATTATCTTCGATAAAATTATAACAAGTACTTTTGCAGTTTTATTATAAAAATAATTTATAACATGGGAAAATTCTTATACAAGGTATATCAATAGTTATATGATTGTCGAATATGATACAGAAAAGTAAGCGCGTCATTCCCTATCTTTTATCCCATGATGCTCAACGCATTTAATAATGATGTTAACAAATGGAAAAACAGTTTTAATGGACCTGCAAATAATATAATACATTAAATTGAAATTTTCAGTATATTACAGTTGAATGTATTGATATATAACTACTGTAAAAAATAAAAAAATATAATTGAATTTATAAGAGAAATACAGCTTATGAAAACAGAGCATTGATTCATCGAACGAATCAGAATTAAATTCCTCTATAGATAATAGGTGAAGTATGCTTCAAGCAATACCAAGTTTCGAATCAGTTTCACTTCTTCAAGACTTCTTCAAATATAAAGAATTAGAATCATTGATCTTCATTTTTGTCTACTTGAAAACTTAACTTTTTTCGAAGTAATTAATAAAAACAATTAATTTGTGAAATAATTTATAATAATGCAAAATATTCAGCATTTATAGACATTTAGTAATGATATAGATGTTTCTACATAATTTTCCTATAATCCATGCGATGTTTCTATCTAAAAGTTTTATTATAAATATTTTTATTCTAGATGAAGATGGTCAATCTTTTCGATTCCTAGAGTCAATTATTTTTCTTTCAGATTGTCGAGAATTCTTTATATATTTACTTCTTTCTTTCTTTATTTTTCATAAAAACACTTACT